TTTAGTTTGTGATTCAACATGTAATAATACAAAGAACATTATTATTTGTTTTAACTTTGAATTTTATACTTGATTTCCTATCTAAAAAACAATTTGATATTCCATTTTCTATCTATTATATATACTACAAGGATGAAAAATATAATTAAATCTAGAAATATAACTTAAATTAAGAGGAATATAAAAAGAGAGTAAAAATAAAATTATTTCTTGGGAATTTTTAAGGTTTCACTCTCTCCTTATTGGTCCATTTAGCATTTATTTTTAATTAAAATATTTATTTTTAATTAAACCAAATATCTAACACATTTACTCATATACTTTAATTCATACTTGAAATCCACACTTTAATATTAAATTTTAACTTAAATTATATAACCTTTCAATTGACTATTTGTTTCCTCCATTTAACTTCAATTAACACACTATAAAATATAATTATAAGTCCTCTGATTTAATTATTTTAGAATTGTAACTTACATCATATTTTATCCTATAAATACTCATTTTTACATCCTCCTCTACCATATCTGATATTCTCAATATTTGTTTTGTTAAATTTTTAATGTTCTTACATGGGTTGAAAGCTCAATTAAGATATCATTGTAAGAGCTTGATTATATATTTGGTTAAAACTTTTGTTTTCAATTATATTTCTTCTTTATTTTATGTACTTCTTCATTTTTTCATTGTTTTTAATACTATTAAATGTATAATACATATGTATAATAATATTTTATGGCTATAAGGAAATTACTTTATCGATGGGATTCAAAAATATTGATTTCTGACCATCGCACCATAAGAAAATCAAGCTAAATAAACCATTTTCATTGTTTTACTTTATATTTTTTTTTCCTTTTTCACATATTCATGTATATTTATTTTATTTTCAAAGTATGTAATTATTTTAACAAAATATTGTTTTGTTATATTCAAACCAATTTGTAAGACATTGAAATAAATAAAATTTTATACACAAATGAAGGTAATTTTTGTGTATATTTATAAGTTTACACACATATTTGGATAAATTTCAACATTTTTAGTGGTTGTTTTGATAAAGTTTGAAAAGGGGGTAAATTTAAAAAAGTGGTATTTTTAAAGGGGTATTTTTTAAATTCTCCCAATATCATTCCTATTTTTATCATTAACAATATTATTGTTTTATCAAAAATACTTAAAAGTACTAAAGAAAATTACTATCAAAATTGATTAATTGAACAATTAATCAACGAATAAATTCAAAAGATATGAATGTATGCTTCTATTGTATGATTTAAATAAATAACATGTAAAAATATCATAAGCATTAAAATTTATTTAATCTATTTTTTAAAAGTAATAAATAAATTAAAATAATTAAATAAATATACAACAACCCGTGCATATGCGCGGGACATTACCTAGTTAATAAGAAGATAGACATTCAATATAAATCCGCTGTGCAACTTTTAAAGCCCACGTAAGTGGTGTTTTTCTTTTATATTTTCTGTTATGCAATTTTTGTAAATCATATACCATGATTGTTCAGAACATTAAATACCAAATCAAAAATCTTATAATCAATACATGTAATCAAAGCTTTCTAGCAATCATATAATACAATCTTAGCTATATACTAAATTTTCGCAAATTATTAATTTCGAAACTTATTATTTACCAAAAATAAATGAAATTAAAAAATATTCGGCTTCCTTATCAAGCAATCGTATATTCGGAATACAAGCTATCCTAACAAACGAACGTATCTATAAATACATGTCGTAAAGCGACTCATACAATCACCAAATGCACATCTCTCCACTCTAAAAAGCAAAGCTAATCATGTATGCATCTTTCTTAGTCCGTCATGAATTGAAACCATAGAATGAAGAAATATAAAGAGGAACCAGAGATAGTCCAACTAGGAAGGAAATGAGGGACAATGCATTGTAGGTCATGTGGTGACGCTGGACACAATGCAGCTAGATGTCTGAAATTTTCTGAGGAGAAGAAGAGTAAGAAGCAGGACACAATGCAACCAGCGGAGGCATGTTTCGAGTATTTTTGTCTTTTATTTTTTTTAGCTTGCTCTGTTTCTTTTTTTTTTTTCTCCTTTTGTGTCTGTTTTTTCTTGGCAATGTTTGTGTTTCGAGTGTTGTTGTATCTGTTTTCTTGGCAGGTTTGAAGTGTTTGCAAGTTGTTGTATCTGTTTTTTTGTGACTGTTTTTATTGTCTGCAGGTTTTGTACTGTGTCTGATTTTTGTTCTACGGGTTTTTGTTTATTTTTTTAGTATCTCCAGATTTTGTTGTGTCTTTCTTTTTGTGATTGCAGGTTTTTGTGTTGGTTACATTCTTATTTTTTCCTTTGTAGCTACAAGATTTAAAAGTGTGAGTTGAAACACTTACACAAAGTCAAGGACTTGAAATACTCATACTCACACAAGATAGCAGCCAATGGGAGTCATAGCTTATATGTTCTAAGTGTGGTTTTCTTTGTCTTTTGGATTTGGCTTATGTAGTGAGATTGTTTTATCTCTTTTCGGATTTGGATGTATTTTTTTCTGACTCAGTTATAAAATTTATACGGATTTAATTGAAACTAGATTTGTGTTGACTTTTTTTTTTTGGCTTTGGCATTACGAAAACACATAGGATGAGTCACAATTACATAGACATGCAGAAAGTCAGTCACATGTTAAAAACAATCCTACCAAACCATACCTATATAATATGTGATGTAAATGATCCCGTGCCATTGTAATATATATAGTGGTGGAGAAAAAAGACGGCGACTTAAACCTAGAGTTGTGATGAGCATGGGGATGAATTTAAGAATATTTTTAAAGATCTTGGAAATGGCAATTTGAGATCATGAACGGAGGTATATTCCAAATATATACGTGGTGGCAGTTATTGTTCTTTCTCAGTTTTGATCATATATGAATATTTGATTGCTACAATGGTGGAGTGATGTAGATACGCCTAGATTAAGGGGATGAAGTTTCCATATTTGTTTTGTTTTATTATTATTGATGCTATTGCTTTGATTATTCTTTCACATCAGATTTGGAAAACTGAGAGATATAATTACTTTAATCTAATATTAATTTTTATTGTTTGCACAAGTTTATAGTTTGCTGGATATAAAGAATAGAAACAAGTCTTATTATTGAGCTAAAATTGTCTTTGAGAGGCAACCCAACTTTAAAGTACGTCCTCAAATTTGGATTTTCCTTGTTGCAAGAAGCAAAACCTGTTACGGAATAGGCGATCGATGAACTTGACAAGCGTCTCCGGAGGTGGCGGATTGTTGCCATGATGCCTACTGTTCGGTTTACTCCAAATGGAGTGGATTGCGGCTTGGAGAGCATACCTAAGAATGAAGCGGGTTGAGTATTTGAAAGATTGTCCGGAAATCAGCGTAAGAAGAGCATCATAATTAGTTGTGTAATAGTTCAGCAATATCTTTCAAGCAAGGTGGTCCCATACACGAGATGAGTATAGCTGCATTCGAAAAACGGATGGTTTCGAGATTCTGAAGGGGCGTTAGAAATTTACAAAGCACACACGTGGGTGAGGCTCCAACATTCCAAGCTTGCTATCTACCACATATAGTGAGAGAGATAGAAAGCTTTGACGTTTAGTTTTAGTTTTTAAGTTATATTCCTAAACATAATAAGATAGTTATTCATATAAAAGTTTGTCATTCGGTCTAAATGCTACATGAAGAACATAAAAGTTTCTTCTCAACTTATTCAGTTAAGTCTATCCTTATAATTTTGCTTCGTCCGTCGATATCTTTATTTGTTAAAAAAACAAACAGCCAAGTTCTACTATATGTGAACCTCTTCTTTAATCAAGCTCGAAAGGTTTCATATTGTTGCGTATTCAGGCTTGACAGTGGGGTTGGCTTGAGACGGGAACTGATTACGCCGGTCAAAGAGTTCAAAATCTTGCTGTCGATCCGAACCTGAGCAAGAAAAGTCCAACAGATTTCGAGCAAGCTACTTAACCTTTCGGAAATACTGACTTTTGTCCCATTTTTTATTATTTAATTTTTTAAACTATAAAATTAAAACTTTTAATAATATATTTCAAACTAAGCTGCATGGAATCGGGAGCGGGTACGCGGAATCGGAAGCGTTTGGAAGCGCAGAAGCGAATTTTAAAAAAAAAATAGGAAGCGGGTACGTGTTGGAAGCGTATAGATATATATGTATATATATATATATATATATAATGTCAAACACATAATCAATATTAACTATAATATGTATATATATATATATATCTATATATATATATATATATAATGTCAAACACATAATCAATATTAACTATGACAAAAAAAAATCATATTAATAAAATGTTGAGACATACTCAATGTAGTTATATTTTTGAAAAACAAATTTTATTAGCTTTTAAATATTAAACGAATACAAATATATTAATCCACAGAAAAGTGACAAAAAAAACAGATTCAAAATGAAAAAAAAGACTTCTCCAGCTTTTCATTACCTTTGTTTATTTTTACGTAAATATATTTTACTTTCTAGTTTCTACGTTTGTAAAATAGATTTAAGTTGGGTCACAATACAAACTGAAAGTCCTGGCCCAAAATAACTTGTGATTTTTTTTGTTTCATCTTCTCCGATCTAACATCATCACGCTTCCGATCTTAACACTACGACCGCTTCCAACTCTGAAACGTGTGATTCCATCGCGCTTCCAATTACTATATTTAGGAATCGCGATTCCGAGGCAATTCCGAGCGCTTCCTATCGATTCCGGTTCCGATTCCGGTTCCGATTCCGTTTCTGAAGCGAGAAACGCATCACTTCACACGCTTCCGTGCAGCGTAGATTTCAAATGGTTTTCGAAAGACACTTTTGTCTGGACTAGTGTTACAAAACTAGATCCATAGAGAAAACAAATTAATTAAGGGAGAATTACTTAGATAGACCACAATTGTATGTTTATTCCTTAAACAGCCAAATCTTTTTTTTATTCCTTAGATGTTTAGTGGGATGGGTGTAATTACAATAAACACCCTTTGTCTGTTTTCACTTAAAATTGCCACATCATCATCGACAGTTATTCTTTCATTAATTATCAAAAAGGAAACTGAACAGTTCCTTTATTTTTCGTCACTGTTTACAATTTAAAAAAAAAAAAAAAATTTCTCTCTCGCGAAAGACAACTTCCTCGCCGCCGACGAAGACAGTACTCGCCTTTTACACAGTACTCGCCGCCGACGAACCATTACGCTCTCTCTGTTTCGCTCTTCATACTTGCCTTCAGTCGCTGTGAAGAGAAGAAGTCGCCGTGAGTGAGTCGTCGTTTCGTTGCTACATTCAAGACCTTTCGTATTCCGGTAAGTGTCGAACTGTATTTAGAGTTTTTCCGACTATAATCGTGTTTGTTTTTGCTTATTATGGCTGATTGTCGCCGTCGTTTGCTCTATTCATTCGACGGCTGAGTTACATTATTCTTGACAGCTGATTTGTCAGATCTATAGATTCGACGACTGAGTTACTTATCATGTTATGGCTGAGTTACTTATCATGTTATGGCTGAGTTGTCTTAGTTTGTTATTGATGCGGCTGAGTTATAATATTTGTTATGGCTCACTTATTAACTTGTTTTAAGTTGTGGCTGAGTTATAGTTTATGTGATGGCTTAGTTATAGTTTATGTGATGGCTGAATTATAGTTTATGTTGTGGCTGAGTTATAGTTTATGTTGTGGCTGAGTTATAGTTTATGTTGTGGCTGAGTTATAGTTTATGTTGTGGCTGAGTTATAGTTTATGTTGTGGCTGAGTTATGATGTGTTTATACTTATTTCAGATGGCTGCAGAACAAGCAATGCGTTACCCACCGAGACTTTACGAAGAAGGGATGTCTAGCCTCAAGAATAAAAGCATGTGTACCTATTTTAGGATGGCAGATTTCCCTGGGGTTAGGGAATCAATTGGACAAGACGCGTGGGATGAGATCAAGCAATTACCTCTTGGAATAGTTGCTAAATTAGTTGAAAGCAAATTTGTTTGGTCTGCTAAGACTGTACACTATCTATTGTGTAGACAGTTGAGAATTAAACACAAAGAGCTTTGGTGTTTAGTTGGTGGCCAGCCTATAAGGTTTGGTTTGAATGAATTCACTCACCTCACGGGGTTAAACATAGATCCAACTCCATCAGAGAAGTTTGAACCTTCAGTTGACTTCAAACAGTTCTTAACAGAAGAATTGAAAGTTCCTGGTGGGGAAGGTCCAACATATGATGAGCTACTTAAAGGATTATTAGTGTGCCGGTCATGGTCTGTTGAGAAGCGCAAGTGGTTGGGGCTATTGATTTTTCTAGCCATTGGACTCTACTGCGTGCATCATAACTCACGGATACCATTTGAAGCTGCGAAAATAGTTTCTGATGATAAAGCCGTGAAGGCTTATCCATGGGGTCGGGTCGCATTTGAGACTATGGTTGATAATGTCAAGTGCTTGAATCCTAGAGGTAGTTCGTACACCCTTGGTGGGCCGGATTACGTGTTACAAGCTTGGGCATATGATTCTATCAAATGCTTAGGAGAGCGATTCGGGAATTTAGTCGAGAATGAAGACATCCCGTTGTTTCGATGGCCTGGAACCCGTACACGTTCAGCATTAGATATGGCCATTGCTGAAGATATTAAAAAGTATAGTAAGGTAATATTATCTGTTTTAAATGGCTGACTTATATTTTAGTGATTTCTGTTTTATGTTATGACTGAGTTACGATTTAGTTATGGCTGAGTTATAATTTTGTCACGGCTGAGTTATATATTAGTAATGGCTGAGTTATAGTTTAGTTACGGCTGCGTTATAATTAAGTTATGGCTGAGTTATAGTTTAGTAATGGCTGAGTTATAGTTTAGTAATGGCTGAGTTATGTATTTGTTTTGTCTTTATGAGTTATACTTATTGATGTTTGTCTTCTAATGTAGCTACGTGTGAGTACAATGGTGATGAAGGGTGATGTAAGTGAGCTTTTTCATACGTGGCCAAATCAGACAGAAGAAGACCCACAACTTGTCAACTTGGTCAATGACATACATGAAGAAAAGCTTGTTAAAGGTTTTTGGGATGTGACAGTGAAAGAGGACAAGAAGAAAGCTGGAAAAGTTAGAGCAGCGGTTGAGTCTGAATCTCCCGCTAAGAAGCAGAAAGTTGAAAAGGGTGGTGATTCTGGTGCAGAAGATGCACAAAAGAAAAAGAAGAAGAAGATAAACGAGGAGGTAAAGCCTCATGAACAGAAGAATAAGAAGAAGAAGAGTGAGGAGGTAAAGGTAAGTTATATGTTATATAGTCATATAACTTTGTGTATGTTTTGATTATCAATTTTTGTGTATGTTTTGCAGGCTGATAGTGAAGAGGACGATGCTGGTGGAAAGGCGTCACTTAAATTACTCGTGGGTATGGTTTCAGAAATGAAATCAAGTATTGAGACCATGAAATCAAAGGTTGAGACCTTTGATGATAAGTTCACACGTGTTGATGAAGAATTCGTCAAGATGAAAGGCCTAATTTCTTTCGTTGCCAGAGGTGGAGGCCTAGCTGGTCTCATGAGTGGAGACAAAAACATTCAGAATGACGACACATTACCACTCAAGAGCATCTCCAATATCAGAATCAGGGAAGCTTTTGGGAAAAAAAAAAGAACAGACACCTGAAATTCAGAAGAAACCGTCAAGCCAAGAGTACTCTGTTACTAGTCCCCCGGTAAGCTGAGTTCTCTTAATTTTATGTAATGGCTGAGTTATTCGATGTTTTTACTTAGTTATTTATGTTATGGCTGAGTTATCAAATACATTACGGCTGAGTTGTTTATGTTATGGCTGAGTTATCAAATACATTACGACTGAGTTGTTGAATGTTATGGCTGAGTTATGAGTTATGTTATGGCTGAGTTATATCTCTGTTTTGGCTGAGTTGTTTTATGTTATGGCTGAGTTATACCTCTGTTATGGCACAATTGTTTTGTGTTATGTCTGAGTTATACCTTTGTTATGGCTGAGTTGTTTTGTGTTATGGCTGAGTTGTTTTGTGTTATAAAGTTACAGGAGAAGAAAATTCAGGAAGAAGAAGAAGAAGAAGCAGTTATGGACAGTGACATTAATCGGTGCATCAAGAATCTAAATAAGGATTTCGATGAGGCCACTAATAAGACAGATGGTCTTCTTGATTTCATTGAGAAATCTCCCTCTCCTGCTAATAAGAAAACGCGGCCTTTGACGCAGCAGAGGAGAGAGGCTGAGGCTCAAAAAAAGAAAGAGGAGGCACTGAAAAAGAAAGAAGATGCACTGAAGAGAAGAGAAGCAGATGCCGAGAAGAAAAAAGAAGTAGAGGAAAAGAAGAGGGCAGAAGCTGAAGCAAGAAGGAAAGGGAATGAGGAAAAAGGCCAGCCAAAGAAGAGAGGTAGAAAGCCTAGAGGTGTTCAGCAGCTGAAACCAAGTGTCCCTTCTGATCTGGTGGAAGAACTTGCTGAAGATGTTGTTAAGATTCCTCTTGTGAAATTCAAACTCTCAAAGGTTGAGGTTGAGGACAACAAAGGGGACAGCAAAGGGGACAACAAAGGGGACAACAAAGGGGATAACAAAGGGGACAACAAAGGGGATAACAAAGCTTCTGACAGTGAAATAGAGGATGTCACTGACAATAATCCTTTCGAGAACTTCAACATATTACATGAATCTGATGTTGATGAAGAAGAAAAGATTAGGAATGAAAAGATTAAAGGCTTAAGGAGAGCAAATGTGAAGTTTGCTAAAGATTGGAGTGCATTGGAGCCACAACCAAATCCTCATGTTTTTCCTATTATTGGAGAGAACGGGCTGACATGTATGAGGAAGAACTGTGTATATATGATCCTTTCGCCCCTGTTGATCCGGCCAGATTAGAGAGATTATTGGAACACTTAAGTCCACACAAGTAAGTCTGCGTACCTATTGACCTGTTGATTACTGCTTCTTTACCCCCTTTTTATGTATATTAAAGTGTGTTGTTTGTTAGGGCTAACCCATATGGCAAGGCGGTCCCTGAAATTGAATTCTACAAGAGAATCATCACTGAAAGAAAGGATTGGCCAGATTCGGACACTAAGTATGGCTGGCTGTGGGACGATGTAAGTTTTACACTTTTTGTTGTGACTGAGTTATCATTCAGCTTGACGGCTGAGTTATTAGTTAGTTATGGCTGAGTTATGGTCCTTGTATGGCTGGGTTATGGTCCCTGGTATGGCTGCGTTATGGCTGAGTTATGGTTGAGTTATATATTAGTTATGGCTGAGTTATGACTGAGTTATGGCTGAGTTATGACTGAGTTATGGCTTAGTTCTGACTTTGTTATGGCTGAGTTATGGTTGAATTATATTTGAGTTATATTTAACTTACTTGACGGTGTTTTTACAGCATGTGGGTGCGTTTATAAGACTCCTCAGGAAACGGTTCCTTGAAGACCCCTGCCCATTCCATACCAAACGTATTGCGTTTATAGACCCGTGGTTTACTGCTTTACTCATACATGAGTATAATAAAGCATTCAAGGAAAGACCACAAAGGTTTAAATTCGATGGTGGACCCTATGAGCTGGTTATGAACGGGAAAATGCCTCAAGATCAGCCCACTGGTTTGAAGTGGATAGAAGATGTGGACAAACTGTATCTTGTTATACAAAGCGGAGGTGATCACTGGATTACTCTAGAAGCTGACCTGACAAGGAGCCATATCGATGTATATGACAGCATTGTGGGACAGGTAACACCTGAAAGTGAAGCAAAAATCATGAAGTCTGTTAAGCCGTTTGCGCAGATGCTTCCGGCAATGCTCAACGCTTTAGTCCCTGCTGAAATCCGTCCACATAGTAAGGCGATGTTTGCCTTCAGAAGGAAGAGTATATCCAAGGTCTCTCAAAACCGTAAGCCCGGGGACTGTGGTGTGTACTCTCTCAAATTTGTGGAATGCTTAGCATTTGGTGTTAGTTTCGATGGCCTCTGTGATGAAAATATCCAAGGTATACGGCTGAAGATGGCAGCAGACATTTTCGATGAGGCAGCGGATTATTACAGTCAGTTTCAGTAATATTATGTTGTACTAGACTTATTATGATAATATGTAAATTATTGGAATCATGGCTCATTTGTGGTTTTGTACTGACTGTTATGGCTAAGTTATGGTCTCGTTATGGCTAAGTTATGGTCTTTTATGGCTCAGTTCCGAAAGACAAATTAAACTCAACAATAAACAAGCATTTTAAATTCAACAATAAACTTAACATTATGGTATTAGAATATATTAAAAAGTATCTTTAATGTAAAAGATAAAATTCACTCGAATATAAAAGATAGAATTGTATTAAATTAGAGTATTACAAGATAGAATAGACAAGCATTACTAGGATTTATCTCTTTGTTGGATACATAAGTCTTAAAAGGTATAAACAATAGCTAATTTGATTATATTCATTTTTACAGTGAATAAAAACCTTAAATTCTTCTTATCTAAGTGTTCTAATAACATGTATGAATAAATAACATTATATTTAAAATTCGAGGTTTGGCTGAGTTATGATTATGTTATGGCTGAGTTACAGATAACGTTACGGCTGAGTTATATGTTAGATATGGCTGATTTATGATTTTGATATTCAAATTCGGGGTATGGCTGAGTTATAGTTACGTTCCGTCTGAGGTATAACATAACGTTACGACTGAGTTATATAATGAGGTTTGGTTGACTTATCGTAAATTAAATTCGTGGTTTGGCCGAGTTAATTCCAGACGACGTCGTTTACTTCTTTCTTCTCCCTTATAGTCATAATCGAGAAATCAGATTGGGGATTTAGGGTTCTTATCGATTTCTGGGATTGCCTCCGATTTCTTGGTTTATCTTCGATTTTTGGGTTCTAGTTCTCAATTTTAATATGAGCGACTACTCTTCGAGTACATATCGATCAGCATCCGGTGCTTACCCTACAGATCTTCCGACGATTTGCGGATGTTGGTGTGGTAACGATATCATCACATACATATCGAAGACAAAGGAAAACCCTTACCGTATCTTCTATAGATGCTCGATTGCTTTGAAGGTACTAATTTTCATTTAAATTTTTATTGTTAACATATGGGTATCGATGTTGGTTTTTTGTTAATTAGAGGCCTTATTAGTCGCATTTCTTCAAATGGGTTGATGAGGCATCGATTGAAGAAATTAAGATGGTCAACGCAAAGGTACAGAGAATAGAAGAAGATGTGACGGACTTAAGGCATCAACATACTCAAAATTTAGATCTCCAAAAAGAAATGTTTGACAAGCTTGAGGAAGAACTGAGTAAGAAGCTTGAGGAAAAATTGATGAAGAAGATTGAGGATGATATGGGTAAGACGACTTTGAAGACAATTTGTCTACTCTCTGTAATAGAAATCGCAATTGTATGGCTATGGGAGAGAATATAATTGTTGTTTCATGATGTTTAGACTGATTATGTTGTAATTTGTGTTGTTTAACCAGCAATTTTAAGAGTTCTTTTCATGTTAATGAGAAATGGGGTATGGCTGACTTATAATTATGTTACGGCTAAGTTAATGTGTTCAAGTTACGGCTGAGTTATGAGTATAATTATAATTTATAATTACCAATTATATAAGTATATAATGGATATGACATATAATAAATATATATTAGCAGCAAATATGCATGTTAAGATTGTTAATTTTGAAAAGAAAATGGAAAATTTACACAATTTCATCCAATTCAAACTATGTAGTGTTGGTTATGACTAGAAACTAGTTTATGTGTGATAGTTTTTGCATTATGTTACCAAAGTCTACATTATTGATGAATAATATGGTAACATGATTGTATCATATCTAAACATAGTATTTATGTGATTTCATAACTTCGCTATAACTAGAAATTGACATAACGCATATTTAGGGTATGGCTGATTTATACTACGTTATGGCTGAGTTGTAGATAATATTACGGCTGAGTTATCAATAACTTGGTATTTACGTGATTCCGTTACGGCTGAGTTAATTCCATAAATTGACATAACGCATATTTAGGGTATGGCTGACTTATACTACGTTATGGCTGAGTTATTGATAACATTACGGCTGAGTTATCAATAACCTGGTATTTACGTGATTCCGTTATGGCTGAGTTATAACTAGAAATTGACATAACGCATATTTAGGGTATGGATGAGTTATTGATAACATTACGGCTAAAATTGCTAAAATGAAAAAAAAAAGGAAACAACATGATTCAAAAGATCCAATATTTGTTTGGGATTACAAAGAAGTTTAAAAAGAAGTTCAGAGAGAACAAACAACATTCAAAAGCAAGAACTTGAGAACACATATGAAACAACATTGAAAACATTCAAAAGCAAATAACTGTTGGAATTCAGCAAAAATAATCCCAGCAGAGATCGTCTGCACCAAGTTGCTCAAACATATGGACAATTTTCTCCCAAACCATTGGATTCAACCACTCGGGCTTATCTTTACCGAAGATCCATTTCTTCCTAATCCCACGCATCTGCGACATGAAAATTGTACTCGCATCTTTATTAAAGTGTGTCCAAATGATTAACGTTTGCCTTGGATCCCAGTTGTATTGGCGCTACATAAAAGGAAAAAATTAGGCGAAGAGAAAATAACCATATGAAT